TCTTCTTTAACTTCATCATCTTCAACTTCTTTTTCAACTTCCTTTTCAACGATGAGTTGGATTGGATAACCAATGAATTCAGAATGTTTCTTGACGACCTCCTTAACTTTACGTTCTTCAAGATATTCTAATTGATCTTCTTTAAGGAATAATTTAATAAGAGTACCTCGACCTAGAGGTTCATTAACGGTATCACGAGTAATAGTGAAAGATCCACCGGCAGCAGACTCCCAAATATATTGTGCATCATCATTATGCTTTGTGATAACTTGAACACGGTCAGCTACCAAGTAGGCAGAGTAAAAACCCACACCAAATTGACCAATCATAGAAATGTCGGCACCGGATTGTAAAGCTTCCATGAAAGCTTTAGTACCCGAACGAGCGATAGTACCGAGGTTATTTACAAGATCAGCCTAATAATAATAATAAAAAATAATATAATAATTAATAAAATTGACTCTAATCGATTTCAAACAACAATTTTTGATAATTTCAAAGTGATGATACCTTAGTCATACCAATTCCAGTATCTCGTAACATAAGAACTTTATTTTCTTTATCTGGAACGATTCGAATATAAAGGTCACGACCAGATTCAAGTTTTGAAGGATCGGTAAGTGATTCATAACGAATTTTATCCAAAGCATCGGAAGAGTTTGAAATTAATTCACGAAGGAAAATCCTAGATGATAAAGGAGATAAAGGTTTAGAAATGAAATTGATTAACAAACGCGCTTACATATCTTATTTAAGTAAAGAACAATGCTTTCATCGATAGTCGAAACAATTATATAACGAGTTTAACCAACAACTCAAGACACGTTACAACTTTATTCTTCGTTCTTAAGTAATATTTAAAGCGCGATTTTTTCTCATAAAAAAGTAAAATATAAAACTTACTCTTTATTTGAATAGAAAGTATTAATGATAATTGACATAAGCTGAGATATCTCAGCTTGGAAGGCAAATTGTTCGACTTCAGCCATTTTTGCGTGAATACGTTATAAGTGAGTTGTATAAATATGTGTGTCTTTTTATAGTACTAAAAAAAAGAAGTTTGCCGGCTTTGAAAAAATTTTTTTTTTTTTTCGTAAAAACAAGGAACTTTTAGTCTAACGTTTTTAAAAGAAAAAAAAAATCTTTTGAGGAAAGAGATAGTTTGATGAATGAAATCTCATTTTATACCTGTAGATAAGGAGCGGAGTATTCGTGGTAAACTTTCTATGAGATTCTATGGGACAACATTTGTGCACTCTAATCATGTAGATCATCATCAATCTATACGCGTGTTGGAAGGTTCCAGCAATTTG